GATCCCAACCAGTCAGGGCTGATCGCCAAGACCTAACCCTAGGCGAGGCTGATACTTAGCGGCCTACCTAATACAAAAAGCAATAGCGATAGCTCTCATAAGGGGCGCGCCCTCGCGCCCCTACAGACGACAGAACACACAACAACTCAATACACTCAGTTTCTATACTTAAGTTTATCACAGTCTTTTATCACAGTGACCCAAAAACAGTCCTTGATCAGAAACCCCTCACAGTCTGACAGATGCAGAAAGAAAAAAAAAGAAAAAGCAAATATGTAAGTAGGTGCAGAAAGACCCTGAGTGAGGCGCCAGAGTGCAGATCCTAATGCAGCTCCACGTGTGTATCCCGCAAAAAGCACAATCACATCGCGAAGCCTGAAAAACAAAAAAGAAATTTAAAAAAAAATGAAAAGAAAAAGTGAGGCGTGATAGCGTCACAAGTAGAGGTAGAGGCGGAAATGATGCAAAGCCCTCTTTCTTTTATTTCTTCTCTTCATCGCCTTGTTTTTATATCTTTCTCGGGGGGGGGATTTTTTTTTCTTCGGTTGTCGAGGCTGTGTATTGACTGCGCTTGCTGTATACCTACGTATGTTCTGGTATATCCTGCTATGTATGCATGCACGTGGGTAGTATAGTATAGGCGTATGCAATACACCTAGGGTATACAGTCCCAATAGTTAGGTGTTACCCCTGCACTGTAGTATGTGCTTTGTGGCGGTGGCTGTGAGTATACACACAAAAAAACAAAAAACTGTGGCTTGCAGATTTACTTTTCGCCTCTTGCGACATTGTTATTTTTTCTTCCAACCGCGGTCCCAGATTTCCACTTTTCGCTGTTTTGTGTGCAGTTTTTTTTTTCAAGTATCTCGTGCTTCGTTGATTCTACCACTGCTTTATGTGGTATGTACTATGACGGAGTGAGGCGTATCATTGCATCTCCTCTACACTTACCTCCTTGTCCTCCTTGTCCTCCTCCTCCTCCTCCTCCTTTTTTTCCACATATTCGTCTTCCGTTGTTCCGTTTTTTCCGTTTGCGCAAATCCACCAACCCCCAGAATCCCACACACTCCCATGATTCATGCAAAAAGCGCCACTTTCTTCCCCCCCCCCCCC